CAGGAAATAGATTTCAGGCTGGTCCTCAGTGCTGGGCTGCAGCACAGAGTCGTGCGCGTAGAACCTGTCGGCACAGCCATAGTGCAGAGCGGCACAGGCACCTTCTGGGATGCCTCTGCCCTCCATGTCATCCCCAGGGAAGCTGTCCAGGTACCTGGCTATGTAGGAGCCCGTGGAGTGCCTGTTGATGATGTGAGGAGAGGCTGAGGGCTTGTTCCGGAGCACCACCCCAGTGATGCTGCTGGGGTTGGAGGGTTTCTGCTTGCTGGCAGCCTCCTGCCGCTCCTTGGCGCGGCTGGCGATGTTCCTCACCCTGCTCTGGCTCCTGGAGGACAGTTTTCTCACCAGTGCCTTGGGGCAGTCCTCATCAATCTGCCTGGAGCAGAGGGTTTGCCTGTTGTCCTCCTGGTCCAAGGACACCAACTTCCTCAGCTGCTCCGTCAGAGCATCCGTGGAGTGGGGCCTCATGCTCCTCAGTGCAGCCAGTTTCTTGTCCCTCATGCCTGAGGAGATGAAGCTCCTGCTGATGTACTGGTACTTACTCTCGAAATTGCAGGAAATGTCCTCTGATGTCAAGTCCCCCAGGCTCTTGGACTTGCATGGGCTGTGCTGCTGGATGGCTGGGTGAGGGGGGAAAGCACTGGGGAGCACCACAGGGGCTGTGCCAAGCTGGGACCTCTCTGGAGCACACACTACTTTTTTCTGCTTATCTGAATGCTGATGACACAAAAACCCAGTGTTTTCACCCATGGAATAAGGGAGCTGACTCCCTGCAGTCCTGAAGTTCTCTGAGCAGTCCTGGCCAGCAGCACAGAGCCCAACAGGTGTGCTGTTCCCAGAGGTCCTCTCAGCACCATGCCCAGTGTCCTGCTTTTGCCTCGGTCTTAGAGGAGAAGTCAGCTGGCTCATGTCTTCCCTTCTGTACACACAGGCAGATCCCAGGACATCCTGAGGGTCCCCATCGACCTCCACGAGGCTGCTGCTCTCCGAGTTCTCACCAGCAAGAGGGTCAACCAGCATCTCCTCAAAGATGAGGTTATTGGAACCAAAAGAACTGCCAGACTCAGGGGCTTCCCAGTTTGGTCCAGGTTTTGCTCCACCATTTCTTTTGGGATTAATATTCAGCAGAGAGAGAGGTGAAGAACAAGGTGAGCTAGGGAAATTATTTTCTAGACTACTTAATTTTTGCTTGCAAACCAATTCCCTGTGGGTCTTACATTCAGGAGCTGGTGTGAGGGTTGCCTCGTGGATGATGGTGTATGTGGAATACTCTGCAGCTTCAGGGCTGGAGAACACGGTTGTATCTGGAGTGGAGGATAAAGGAGGTTTGGTGGGAGTGAGGTTGTGCTTGCAGGGGTTGCTCAGCTCTGCACTGAGCACCTGTGGGTGTGCAATCACACCATGGGGGCTGGAGACAGGGTTCAGGCTGGTTTGGTCACCTGTGACATCGACCTGCCTGATGAGGGCAGACACAGCACTGTCCATTTCGCTCTCTGTCGCTAAAGAAACCTCCTCGATGAGGCGAGAAATGTCACTGTCCTGCATGGCCAGAGGGGAGTGTGGGTCAGGGCCCTCAGGGCGAATAGGAGAAGTAGTATCAGAGACAGAAAGAGGTGCTGCAGTGCTTTTCTTGGTGATGTCATATCTGTGATGCTCCATCTCTGCTTTTTGAGAAAGGGAAGTGCCTGCAAGAGTGATTTTCCTCTCCTTAGACCCTTCTGTGTCACCTTCCTTTGTATTGCCTGCACAGTTGTGGTACGGTTTTTCTGGGCAGAACTCAGAGTCCTGCATTAGTGAGACAGTTTCATCAGGGACATCATCTTCCTGACAGTCTGTGAGGTGATTGGTTTCAGCTACACCACTGGCAAAACCCAAGTGTTCGGGTTGCTCCTGTGGAGATGGTACCAAGGAGTCAGCTGTAGAATCCTTCTGCTCATTCTCCTTCTTCAACTGAGATCCCAAATTTGACGTGTTTGCCATTTGCTCCAAACATGAATAACCAGATCCTTTCAAGCTGGTTTCCTTCTCGGTGGCATTGTCATCACTGTTGGCTGAATTAAATAAGAAACACATTAGTTGCATACAAGACTCTGCTCTGTCTACCAACAGCGATTTTGTCCTCAGACAGACAAATGGAGAACGCAAAATTAGGTACAGCAGTGACAGAACTCAATCATGGGGTTGTGCAGGTTTAGTACAAATTATCTGAGTGATATGAACAAATGGAAAAATACAACTGCAGGCACTTCATTGGAACTTCCTTGGGATGTCTATTACATCAAGCAGGTGATGTAATACTTGTTGTAAGTAATGTTAATGAGGTATCAGATCAGAGCTTGCACGTGGCATTACCTTCAGCTGTGTTCCTAGTCAGATTTGTACTACACAGAAGCGTGGCAATAAAGACAGAACAAAACAGCTCTGTTAACAACATAACACTTGGAAACAAGATGCATGCTTAAAGCTGAGTAAAAAGCAGCAGGTATAAACCACATGGTTTATACATGTGGTTATTACAGAGTGTTACAATTCAGGCTTTAATTTTGGTCTATAGCATGCTGCATTTGTGAAAGCAGGGGTTGAATTCTTTGGAAAATACACATCGGGTGTTTTCTCCTCCAAATCCTCTTACTGCTCTTTCTATGCCAAATCCGTATCTCACTCCTTTGGAGATTTAATTAAGGGACTATAGGAGCAAGCTTGGGATAATAGATGCTGTTTTTAATGCTTGCTAGAAATCAGGTGCCCTTGAAAGAAGCCAGGGGAGCGCTGAGCACTCCTTAACAGGGACCGAACCTCCTTGGTGGAGCAGGAACTGCTTGGAGTGAACATGGCTATTGAAGCCCCCTCCCCAGAATCTGACAGTCCTCAAATTTTCCAGTGCTGCTAGAGAATGATGGAGGAGATCCACATAGATTTGATTTGTAAGTTGATTTTTTCCAGAGAAAACAGATAACACACTGTCCCCTGGGCATAACTCCAGCAGAGCAGCAAAGACGTTCAGCCACAGCATTTTAGCAAGAAGGATCTCTGTGGGACAGCCTCCTCCATGAGGTTATGGAGCAAACCTTACTGAGACTCTAAGGGACAGGATCCATCCTAGAAGGGGCAGGATTCATCCTGTGGGACAGCTTTTGAGGGCATCTCACCGGACCTGTGCTTTCTGCCAAGGTTATTTTGCTGTAAGTGAATAACTGTGACCTCCAAAAACTGTGTAAGTTTCTTGTGTCTTTATAGCATCTTCAGGAAGAAATACCTAATAAACTATTCCATCCGTTGCAAGGAATGGCTGAGCTGTCTCATCTTCATAGACTTATCTAAAGAGTATTTCAATTTAAACCGCAGCATTTCAGAGTTATCTTCCTTTACTAGAAGGAACATCCTTTTTCCTGCCTACGGCTCCTTCTCAGGGTGGTAGAGAAAGCTCTGGTAGGTTTTGTTCACTGTTTCTCCTAAGGAACTTCTTTCACAAGTGATGAGACTACCTGCCCCTTCAAAGCCACTAACATGGGACCACTAGCACAAAGGTGCTTAGCAACATGTCCTTATCTTTGCCAGATGGTTAGGTGGCTCCTGCAGGTGCTGAAAGCTGCTGCTCCGTAGCTGAAAATACTTGGAGAAGGGCAGCAATTCCATTACCCTCGGACCAAGACAGGTCCTTAGAGTGTTCTCTACCTCTCACCAGCCAGAGACATGGTGCTGCTGGCTGAAATCTGGGCTGCCAGAGCTGGCCCAAAGCTAAGGATGTGAGGACAGCCTCTGGGAGGGCACACACTCTTCCCAAATAAACCAAAATCAGCCCCAAAAAACCAGTATAGACACCCCAGACTGGGGATGAGCTCAGGATGGAGACAGCAGGTCTAATGATTCACAGCCATTGTACTCAAAGCTTCCCAGACTTAAGCATTGCAGTAAATCAAATATTAGGCAGGTCCAACACACTAACTTCATCGTAGTCATGGGAATAACTGGATTTCAAACCCAGGACTATTACTGCTGAGCACACTTAGGAAAAAAGAAAAAGCTATTTTAGGAGTTAAATTGTACTGTGTAGCAATTACATAAGACCAAGATTTTATCCTAACACACACTTTCCATATAAATGGATCAAATTAAGCAACCTAGGGTAAGAGCTGAATATCAAGACTGTTGGATACAAAGTTTGACCTACTTTTACATCTGTTTGAAAGTCTTTACACATACTATTTCCAAAAAACCTGCTGCATGCTGCTCTCCCTCCTTGAAAACAGGGAGAAGACGACCACCCTGCCAGCAGCTCTGACATGGGACAGCAGCAAACCAGAAACTGATCAAGTGCAATGGAACATTGGCTCTTAAATTACGAAAGGAAACTTGGCAAGTGTCATTTTTAAGAGCACTTCCAGGAATTACTGCAATTCAGTTGCCTAGTGTGCAGAGTAAACCTCTTTCCATGGTGTCACTTTTCCATGAGCTTCAGGAGCTGTTAAAGCACAATCTGAAGTAGATGTCATTTTGCCCAGTAACTCTTCCTTCAGTCAAATAAAACTACTTGCACAGAGGCTACAGGACTAAACCTTTTAACTTACTACATCAAGAGTAATTTTGGAAGCATCTTACCTGCTGAGTTCTCCTTCCCTGTGGCATCCTGGGCAGCCTCCTCTGCTGGGCAGGGCACTCCGACCAGAAGGTACTTGTCCACGGGCATGGAGGCAGGACGCGCCTGCAGGCTCCGGTTCGGACGCCGAACCACTCCTTCTTTGTCCTTCAGGTCTGCTGGCTCGGATGCACTGTCCTGGATGTCAGCAGCTTCCAGGAATCCCATCTTGCTCTTCTTCCTGCCCTTGGCCGGGGCGCTGGCCGTGCGCCGCAGGAGTCGCTCGCCCAGCGATCGCTTCCGCACGTAGTGTGCGCTGCCCTCGGCACAGCCGTGCTTGGGGGGCTTGTGGAACAGCCCTCGGAGCCCTATCAGCTGCTTGCTCTGCAAGGACAACCACCACAGCTTCAGGTGAGCTCAGGCTATTACATAAGGAGCACAAGAGCTGCTTTCAGAGCATTTATGAATGATGAAGACAAAGCTCAAAACGCAGCAAAACAAAAACTTCACACCAAGCAAGTCACATCTACTCTGACCAAGGAGCTACCAGCACAGGTCTCCATGGATTCATGCATGTCTGTGTTTCTCCTCATTAGGATGGCAGCCTGCCACAGTGACCAGAGGTTTGCTCCAATGCTCCTAATGGGAGCTGACAGAGCTGTAAGAAGTGCTCTGCAGTGACAGGCTGCACATGAATGTGGAGCATTATGTGCATGGGCTTCACCAAAGCAAGAGTTTCAGAGCCTGAATGGAGAGTGGTGCAAGTTTGGCAGTTGCAGATCATGCAGTCAGGAACCACTGGAAAATGTGTGCCCAGAAGTGCAGAGTGCATGCTCATGAGCTCTACCTTTGTGGCTCCTAGAAAGTGCAAGATTGTGTAACTGGGATTGAGGATTAAAGGACTCCACTGAAAGGCAAAAACAATGCAAATCCATTTGGCTAATGCTTCCAAGACTACCATACAAGCAAATAAGGTAATAGTACATCAGCTCTAATAAGAAACAGCAAACAATTTTGAATTGTTTATTAGTCTAATATGTCTGTCAGAAATTTGACCAGATCACTTATAGGGATGCAAACATGCATAAAAGATATCTGATTATGCATTAGAAACAACCATCAGCCAATCATTCAGGGAGGCATTAGATGAACCAAGTTCTGTGATACAGAGATCACATCCCAGTGGGTCTCTTCCCCCTCCTTCTCTTGCCTTCCCTCTGAAGCTGCTCTTTACTGGTTTTTCTGTGCATATTTCTTCTCTGAAGAGCACATGAGCCAAGAGCTGCAGCCAAATAGGCTCCTACACACCATCCCCAAAGCTGGCTGTGATTTCCCAGGTGCACCCAGCTGTGCACACGTCTAGGTACACACTGCAGGTGCATCCAAGCTGTGATCTCAGTCAGTGATCTAACCAGATCAGGGAAGACAAAGTGGAGTTCAGTGAGGATCTGGATACATCAAATCTCAGTCTTGGCCTTTCTCCATGTTCTTTTCTCTCTCTGTCCCATAGAGTTTTCCTTAGGTGCTGCACAACTGTGGGTTTATATGTTCATCATGACATTCTCTGCATCCTCTGCCAGCAGGGACACACTGAGAGCTGACTGTTCTTTGCCACTTGGACCCTTCATAAAGGTCAGGGGTTTGTTTGTGGCATTTTGTGCTCATCTGGTTTTCTTAAATCACTGCAAAAATGCTATTTTATATCAGCATCCTGTTGAATAAGGCCTTGATTTCTTTGTGCTACTTATCCCCAGTGACCTCTTGCAAACAGCTCACAAAGGCAGCTGAAGCAGAAATGCAGAGCAAAAGCACTGAGCTTTTACTTTCATGTTAAAGCACTTTAAAATTAGCAATCTTGCAGAAAAGCAAAATGTATGCACTAAAACCTAAAATTACATTAGGTTCATTTGAATTAATTAAATTGGCTGCTAAAAATAACTTGTCAAATACCATGTTCTGGTTAAGTTACTTCTAAATCTACTTCAAGAGTTACTTCTAAAATAAAATCAGTTTAGCACTATGAAGAGATGTACTTCCTCTACCTAGACATGGTAATTATCAGGTGCTAACAGTAAGAACATCTGTAAGTATGAGCACACTAAGACTAGAGTAATGGCATGTGGTATTTTCCTTGCTGATCTCCTGCAAGGAACACACACACACTATGAGCCTCATCCTTGTGCCTCCTGAGCACTCCAACATCAACCCATGTTCTGTGGTATGTTTAAATTCACTTCCGCCAAGGAAGATGCACATTTCCAGCTGTCCCTACCTTTCCATAGGTCTCATTGATGATGATATGAACAAATATGGATGATTCTGGCAGCCCTTCCAAGTACACGTGGCGATAGCCTGGGGAAACACAAACATCAGGTATGTCACACACAGAATCACTAAGAAGTTTGCATTTTATGCCCAGCTAGCAATGACTGTCTATAAGAGTGATGTATATACAGTAAATCACCTTAGGCCTTGCGTAAAACTTCTTATGCTCACAGACATTCCAAGCCCCCAGTATGAATTGCCTCCAATTTCTTAATAAGACCAGTAGTAACTTCCAAAAGCTTAGACATCCCAACTCCTTCAAGTATTGGTGAATAAACCACCCTCAGACAACAGGAGAGTTGTCCAAGCCCATACATGAAGTCACAAAGATATAATCATCCATCATCTTATGCTGACAACCTCATGTTTACTCTCAAAGATGTTTGTTCTTCAGCTGGATTTGCACCTCAAGGAGAACAAGTGGCACTCACCAGGCACGAGGCTGCTGAAGGCCACAGTCCTCTGCCCAACAAAATCTCTCCCGATGGGGTCGTGGTCCCAAACCAGGAACCTCACCAGCGCGATTTCAGGCATGTGGATGGTGAAGGTGAGGGTTTCCTCCCAAACAGGGTTAAACCCTGCAAGCGAAGAGGACACAGAGCTTGGGAAACAAGTCCATAGCAAGTGCTAGCCTCAGTTGCCACAGGGCATAGCAAGAGGCCCAGGAAACAAGCAGCAACACAAATGAAAACCCATTGCTTATTGCTCATCTAGACCTGGGCACTCCCAGTCTTCAGCATGTCAGTGATTGAGTGTGAGAGATGTGCCTCTTGCACTGCTTTAAACACTAAGTGGTTCTGCCTGGGATACAAGGCAGGGATACAAGCAGCAAGGTGGTGTTTTGCAGAACTATGGTAGGTTAAGGAGATGAGATATATATATATACACACACACACATGTATACGAGATGTATATGTGTATGTATAAATATATTTGGAACTTCTGCATAAGGGAGATTTAAGAACAATCCAGGAGAAATATAGTGTAGTGAACAGCTCTTGCCCTTCACCCCTAGCTTGTCCATCTCCCCACACCAGAAACCATGTCTAGAAAGTGAATCAATTTGTTAAAATACAGTCATTTGATTTCATTAATAAGCAGCTCTGCAATATAGAAAGTAAGAACAGACACTGAATCATTTATAATTAATTAATATTTTACTCTAAGAAGAAGAAATCACTCAGATTTTCTTACCATTGTCGTCCACCACCCTGGTCTGATCTTTACAGCAGTCAACAGGTAACCCAATAATTTCCACCTCAACAAAGGGATCTATTATCTATTTGTTAAAAATAAAATACTTTAAAAGCAGGGCAATAATACCAGTGAAGGTCAGTTTTTAAGAGATTCATGCAGAGCGTTGATTTAAATTCATATGAGAATTCAAAGCCCTTTGATGGACATGAATTTTCAAGCAGCACAATCATGGGAAATGGGTTCATGAAGTGCATGTTGATGCATGGTTTGTAGTCTCAAGAGCTGTGGGCAGTAAAGTCACCCTTAGAGTACAAAACAAATCAGTTCTTAAATACCATGTGCAGGACAGAGACTGGGGGAAATGTAGGATTTCGTGGCCAAAAGCTTTCAATATCTGAAATTTACTGGTGCATTTAATAAGGAGGCATGAGTCACATGTTGCTGTGTCGCTCCAGGAGCTCTCATGGAAGGTTTGTGGGATCAGAGCACCTTACCTCTCCTCGGTCCCCCAACATTGAGTCAGGAGGCTTAGGCAGCTGCTGCCCACTGATGATTTTCAGAATAAGCTGCTTTTTGGGACTGGCAGGGAGTGGATCAGCAGAGTAGGGGTTGAATGTGCCTAAAAGGTGGTAAGAACGAGAAGTGTAAGGAAAAAGATACATGGAATAAATATCACTCCCCAAAATGCACACACAGAGCCACAACTCAGGCAGAAATAGGAAGCTAAGAGTATGGAGCAGCTGTTCCTTAATTTTCATTCCCTTCCACTTTCTTACAACCTTTCCTGAGCTATGTGGCCCTTGTTTGGGATTCCAGGACAGAGAGGACCCTCTAATAGTAGTGCTTCAAATACACCAAGTTATAACCCAGATCAGCACTCTGATCATCTTTTTTGCACAGCTGCCCAGATGTCAAGGAGAACAAGCAGTCAGAGCAGAGTAAGCTACTTCATACAAAAGCAGCAGCACCTGCTTCAAGCACCCAAACTTCTGCCCCTTCCCAAGTACCTTTCAATCAGTGCCACTGCTGCTGATGGCCACATCAACAGAATTACTGAGAGATAAAGGGGCACAAACAGATCCCAAGTCCTTTAAAAGTGGAAGGATTGTCATTGCATAAGACTGAAAACCAGGATCCTGTTCTAGGTGTGTTGAGGATTAAGCCAAACCCTTTTAAAGGAGTGAAATAATCCCACTGAATTGCCTGAGAGCTGCACCAACCCCTGGATACTCGGGTCCTGAGCCACTGCAGGTCTGTCCTAGGCTATCCTAGGATCCCTTTCTCTTTTTTGAAACACGTGTTAATAAGCTAAATCCTTCCAAACATATCTATAACCATAGTAAGAGATTGCACACTATTACACAGCCTAAGAGCTGTGAATGCAGGAGAATATGAAAGATTCTTTATTTGTTCTTAATTTCTTTTCTTGTGCTTTCACAATATCATCACAATATCATCAGACTGTGAAAGGCTTGACAGTTTCAACAACAACTGTTCAGTGGGAAGTTACCTTTGCACATCTGCTGAGGTTTGAGGACATAACCACAGTTGCCATTGACCCTGAATTTCGCTTCATTTAGCTGCATCACACGTCCCTCAGACTGGTAGTTCAGGGCCACTGTTGGAAGACAACACTCAGGTGTCATTGCTCAAGAGAATATTCCTTAGCCCATACACAAGAACTAAGTTTTCATGCCACACCTACCTAACTGGCAGCCAACATTCCAGTAAGGGACAGGGTTGAAGTTGCTGGAGTCAATGCGATAAGCTGATGGGTACACCCTTGTCAGCTGCTTCTGGTTGTAGAGCATGAACTGCTCAGCCTTCTGCTGCACTGCCTGGTGGGCTCTGGTCTCACTGAAGGACAGCACGGTCCCTGCTGAGCCTGTGTGTGTGGTTAAACCAACAAACAGGAGATAAGGCAACCCCAGGAAATGGGCCTGAACTCAGAGCTCTGTTACAAGGGTAGTGATCAAGGGGAACATGAGGTTTAGCCCAAAGTTACAAGGATACTCATAGACAAGGTCTTGTCATGCAAATCATGCATTTTGCACAACTGAAGGATTTCCCCTTCCAGGGGGTCTTTTGTTCTACCCTCAAGTTTCCAGGCTTGAAAGGAAAGCCAAGGAAGAGCTCCCGCTAACTGCCGAAGACTTCCCTCCTGCAGAAGCCCAGGCATGACTGCCAGAGAGAATGTACTGGGAAATCGCCTGATGGCAGCACCATCAAAGCTGTGTCACTGCAGGGGGAAAAGAGTGCCCAGCTGGGCTCTGGTCTTGCTCCAGCCTTTGTAACAGGCCAATAGCAGCACTCAGCTCATTTCTCTCTCAAAATCGACCAGGGCACCCGCAAGCCTTGTACCAGCAGCCATACCATCATCAACGATATCCTGCGCTGCCACGGAGCTGGTGTACACCACCAGGTCGGACAGCGCGCGGCACAGCTTCACCGTTTTCCTGCGACGAGCCAGCCTGCTGGGGAGGGGTAACAGCGAAAACACAGGGGGAATTTGCAGAATTTAGAGCATGTTTCAATCCCCCTTTTTGCTCCTTTCAATCCTGCTGTCTGTTCTTTACGTCAAAAAGGGAATAAACAGCTGTGAGCAGGAACTGTGAGCAGCAAACCTTCTCAGAGAGGGCTCTGAGATGACTGTTCCCCTGCACCTCTCTAGTCCCACTACACAAAACTTGTCATTTAAAACATAATGAATAAGCTCCACCACAGCTCTTCTCAATACAAACCAGCATTTTAGTGTCAACCAATGCACTGCAAATAGAACTTCTTCGATTGCTTTTTCTTTACATTCTCAGAGGCAATAAAGCTGTGATGTACCTTGTTTAACCTAAATTGTTTGCTCTGTGCACTGTTTACAGCACACAAAATGTGAATTGTCAGCTTTCCACTAGCAGAGTATTGCTATCACACTTCAGTTTAAGGGCAACTGCTCTTTGCAGTCTGTGACAACCAGCACAAACAAAACACCAGACTGCAGCAGTCCCAGCAACATCCCCAACAGCTGCGTCATGCATGACCTGCTCCTAAGCACAGACCTTCCTGAGGCAGTGACATACAACTCTGGATAGCAGTAAACATGTCTCTGGCTTTAACCGAGCTGCACAGCTGTGGTGACTCATAGCTCACCTGTGGGGCTGCCCTGGTTCCTTCCCAGAAGGGTTCTGCTGGCTTTCATCCTCGTCTGATACACTGTGATATTTGGCCGCTGCCTTTGCTGCTTTCTGTGGGGAAGAGTCACAGCTGGGTCAGCTCTTGGGGTGGCTCTACAAATCCATTACTGTGGTTAATGTCAGGTGGGTGGGTGAGCTGCAGGTCTACTACTCAGGACCAGTGTCCTGCAGGGACGCAGGATGACCCCTGGGGCTTTGGTAGCAGAGGCCTTGGTGATACATCAAGCCAAGCCAAAGCATCTGTGTCCTGATCTCACTCTATCCCACAGCAAGGATGAAGCCACGGGGCAGGTCTGTCTCCTGGTGAGCAAAGCCAAGCCTGAAGGAAAGTATTTCTGCAAGTAGTCAGTCCCTCACAGGCCACTGTGTACCCTGCAGCTTCCCTCCCTGCTCCCTCCTGACATGAGGACAACATTCCTGCCCTATCTCCAGGGCACAGGTCCTCCTCAGATCCTAATGGATTGGCTCATGTTTAACAAGCAGTAACACATAGCAGGATCTAAATACACAGAGCAGTGCTTCTGCCAACCTATGCTTCCTCCAGCATAGAGTCAGAATATTAAACTTGTTTGTTAGGGTTTGGTAGGAGCTCC